TCTCCACGATCGCATGTCTATTATCGAATAATTTCTTTCGGTTATTTGAAGTTAAGATGACATATAAAAAGCATATTTTCACAATGATTCAAGTATATTAATATCGTTTCTGAGCCACATTCTTTTTCCTCATTTCAATAGACCTGACCTTATTCATTAGTGAAACATTAAAATGTTTGCATTTTTCACCAACTTCCGTGGGCATAATTTGTAAGGATTGAAATTCTTCTTTGTTATGAAGAATACTCGTTGTTTTAGTGAATATCACCCATTTGGCAACGTTGTCATGACAGACCTTGTGCCTTCCAAACCACACACAAATTATTTCATATTTGTGCAAACAGAGGGCGCTCACTGTCCCATATCGTTCTCTTTAAATCACAAACAGACACATTCCTTCATAATATGTGGTTGAAGCGTGGTCTGAAACATCAAAGGGTTAAATAAATGACAGGAATTAAAATGAAAATATTATCCTATGAATGCGTTTAAATAATGGATCTTGTGCATCATCAATAGATTTGTTGGAGCATATCGAGAAAGTCATGACAAACGGATACAGAAATTCAAGTAATTGGCATTTGATAAAAATGAGAGTGGGGAACGCTTATTTACTTACACTGGCACTTACTGCAAAACTCTTCCAATTTACTTTTCATCACAAAATTTTATTTTTCTTCCAGAATCATGAATAACTTGTAAATTTGAAGCTCTCTCGTTCAGCATTTGGTTTAAAAATTCGTCACACGTTAAACAAGATATGAAACGTTGTTGTAAGAACAAAAAGAATGATAACTGGACTTTGTCAATGCCTTTGTTACTTACACCCAAAATTTATCAAGTGAATTTGATTTTTATCGATTTGAGTTAGACTTATGTTCATGAAAGGCTGCGTTATTGACCTAGATGGATGATATGAAGAATTTGCTGATTAAATAATCTGTGGTAAAGGGTGGCAGGAGATAATATATGTGGCAAAGCTTGATGAAATCTTAAAGTAAATACATCAATGATTGATGAATACTGTAAGTTAGACAGCCTTTGCTGTTGTTTCTCACAGCATTTGTAGAGACATATGCCAACTTGTTTGACTTCGACCCAGTTTGAAATGTTACAAGTAACAGCAAGATCTCCATGTATTCAATGCCCGTTGATGACGGTGCAGTTGTGCTGAAGGATAACTGATTACGGCAAAATGAAATCGTTCTTCCGTAAGACTGATATTAGATTTTAGTTCTTAGAAATATGAAATACCAAACGGCAAGTTCTCTGAGAATAGTCAGAGCCGAATTTCGTCTGTTTGTTATAAGTCTTACCTTCGATTCCCACCCTTGACTTAGCTTGCAGTTGGCCAGAAATCGTGAAGGCGAATCGACCATCTTCTCGAGCCAAAAAGTGGAGTTTGAAACAATATCATTGTTTTACATAGTCATTGTTTTAGCTTGATTTTCCTCTAAAGTGACTTAGGTTGTCAATCTATTTCTTCAATATATGCATATATTCTCGAACTAATTTTTATATGCTTCAGTACTGTTACAATGTTTCTCAATTGCTTAGTTTTAATAATCTACCTATTTTGTGGATGTAAGTTGTCCTGCTTCACATTTGATCGAAATCTAAATATTGACTCCACCCTCTTCAGTTCAATACTTAAGATTCGGGAAGACGAATCGGTCAATATCTCATCTAATCAGACTAAACAAGTTCACAGTGGATACAAATTGCAATTGCCTCATTATGAGCATGATAATTGATGGCCAAAACATTTTTGATAATGGTATGTTTGTTGCATAAACTTTGCGCTCATTTATTCTTAATTTATGAAAAATACGAAGGTAGAAATGATTTTACTCGATTCCTCCCACAAAAACATTTTTTGTTTAAGTCATTTAGGACTAAACACAGCTACACTCTCGTTTAATGATGCTTTCCAAGTACTACAGTTTAGTGGGTGATGTTCAGAAGATCGAATTTGTGTCTATTCTGATGTAGATTATAGACCGCGTATACCTTGAAGTGGCTTTGACATTTCCAAACATTTAATCTGTTTATTTCGCATGCTTCTTGCCTCTAGCCCATACACTTGTTTGGTTCGCAGAGTGATATGAGGCCTTTTTTTACTACTTGCTACTTGCCGGTCTTTAGGTGGAAGATATGAGGTATAGACTGGGAATTGGTAGTATTTGACTTTGTCATCCATAAGGTTGCCATCCATGATTGTGAATTTGTCTATATCATAGATAAGCAGGGTTTTCAAGATTTGGAACTTCTTGTCTAGTAACATCCCACAAGCATTCCACTGAAGGATCTGTAGAATTTGTGATTCGCCCTGACGAGGGCGATTTCTCTTTTGGTTTCGTTTCAGGCTGATCAAAATAGTTTGAAGCCAAATATTCATTATCAATAATGCAGCTGTAGCTGCTTGGCACTAACCACCAGCACTCGTCCCAACGTAGCAGTAAACTCAGGACTCGCGTGACTTCCAGTCGCAGCCGCCGCTGCCGACGCCGACGACACATTTGAGGCTCCCTCTTGCAGCAGGTGGTACGAACTTTCATCAAGCGTTTAAAATGATTAAAAACGCTGATTTAAAAACCAACAAGAAGGATAGATGGCCGGTATAGATCAGTGTGAATAAGGTAAGTGACGAGGCTTTTAAGGAGGTATTCTGGTCTAGAAAAAAATTTCTATTTTTTTTGCATATTTTCTTAGTTTAAATATTAAGAATATATCTACGAGAGAATTTTCCAAAATTAAAATAATTTTCGGAGATATAAATATTTTGCTGAGCAGGCATTCAAATCGGTTGGGCTGCAACTAATCGAACAAATAACATAATGGGTTCTCCGACTACCTGAATCTAAATTTCTTAGTAAGCCCTTTTGTTCCGTTATATCTATCTATCTTTTTATTTATCTGTCTATATATATATATATATATATATACATATTTACGGAACAGGAAAACACCAGTTTTACGAGTGCTTCAGCAGCAAAATTGAGGAACTCAAATGATAAAGAGGTGATTATAGGTAATAATTACGGCTACTGTGTTTTGGAGTTTTTCACGGTCTTTTCAGCAATTTCTTCGTTTATTTCGTGAACTATATACAACAACGAGATTATATTTTCAAGAATGGCTAAACGTGGACTCGAGTTCAAAATTGCATTACAATGCGAAGAATGGCTAAACGTGGACTCGAGTTCAAAATTGCATTACAATGCGGTTGCAATAGTCTACGCTACATTCCATCATGTCCATTCGTTGACAAATCCTTCGAAGTTTTTATCATCAAAAGAGTTATTGACTCGATGTTTGGGTTCAGAAATTCAAAATAATAATGAGTCTCTAAATTCTCAGTTATGAACTTTCGTTCCAAAGCATACCCATTCCGGTTCTCAGATCATTGAAATCGCAACATTTACTGCTGTGTGTATTTTTAATTAAGGCTTCATACAGATATTGAAGATGATTTCGATTATGGGAGTGAAAATTGGTCCAGAAGCGCATGCATTTGCAATCAGACGAGACAACACCCGGATTGACCGCTCCGAGATACGAGCATCCAGCACATCGAAGGAGGCCAGAACTACTCGAATAGAAAACAGAAATTCCGAAAATAGTTTTTTCGAAGTCGATGAAGGTCCGATGTATGCAGTAGGAATGGCAGATTAAATAATTTAAGTTAAAATATAATTTTATGACTTAGACTGCAAAAATTTCACTTGAAACATTAAACGCGTTTTTCTCAAAACTGTTTTTTTAATCTGATACCCACGATTTCTCAGATTCTGTCAAACCGATTTACTTGAAATTTTAAAAGAGTCTTCTTTAGGAACTTGTCTACGTCCGAAACTACAGCCATCAACAAATTTTAATTTTTACAATTTTTAAAAATCGAAGAATGTTTCAAAAAAGTGGTACAAAAATGGTTTTTTTCTTTAGACAGTTGTCATTTTTTAAAAAAAAATTAGCTTAAACTTTTCCGTAGTTCCGGACATAGCGACATTATTGTAGATTGATAGTCTTTTTTTATTTTTTGATTTCAGATTCCTTGGAGAGTAGAAATCGTGGGTATGGTCATGCACCATATTTTTGAGACGTCCCACTCCTTCAGCTGATAACTAACGGAATTTTAAATTTTTTTTATTATATGCTTCTAAGATGATTAAATGATTTTTAAAAAAATTAATAATAAAAAATTGCTTTCTTTTTTACAGCACTTCAAAAATGACCTAAAATTCATGTCTCTATACCAGAATACCCACTTAAGTCAAAGCCTTTGTTACTCACATTCAAAATTCATTATATGAAGGAAGAGAGAAAGTTAAACGCATGCCAGTCCGGAGTCATCGTGAACTGCTATAAAAATGTTCGGCTGATTTCGCTTAAGTGAGCAGCCACAGAACTAGTCTCGTCTCATTAAAAGAAAAACAAATGGAGTCCCAAAAGAAGGATAATTTATGTTGGATAGCGTAGTGAACTTGCACAGGATGAGGTGCATTTTAAAGTTAAGCAACTCAGGTTGAAGCTGAAGGATCGGAGCGGTTGAAATGCAAATAGTCAATGAAATTTGTCGCTAAGACAAAATTAGTTGTAATTATGGTGGCTATTGCCAAGTATGATTTGAATTATTTTGACTATCTGCTATGAGTATTTTCTTCAATCCAATATCATTGATTTATCTTTCAGTTGGCTTGAAATCATGAATATCTAGAAAAGAGGTGTTGCACCTGCGTAAGGCCAATCGGTCAATATCTCATCTAATCAGAAAAAGAATGACGTTTGAAACACTTAGATGCATTGGCAATATTATCGAACCACATAATCAACGTTTTTAATGAATTCAAACTAGAATTTATCTTTATTTGCTACAAAAGTGGTATCGGTTGTCAATCACTTTCTCCTACCAATAAGAAAGTTTTACGTAATGTATATATATATATATATATATATATATACGCCCGAATGATTTTTCTATTTGTTTCATTACTGTCACGATGTTTCTCAATCGCTTGGTTTTAATAATCTACTTATTTTTTGAATGTAAGTTGTCCTGCTTCACATTACTGTGATCCAGTTGATCGAAATCAAAATATTTTATAAAACTTAATTTCATATCTTAGATGCTGAAGGCCAAGAAGTTTATGGTTCAAGAATTGTCACAACCAGTAGGGGTCCAGTTGGTCCCCTGAAGTTTACAATGCTTGATGTTCCAGTGAGTAATCATTATTCCTCATGATAGATTGCATCAATTCCACTCTTCTTAAAAGACTGAAAATGCCAATTACTTCTATGTCTCACAACAACTGAACTTTCTTATTTCATGTTTTAATAGAGAGGCCAAGTTCGTTATCAGTCAGGAATGCAGCGCTCTTTTGAATTAGATTCAAACAATAATTGCATTACTTTCGGCACAACAATTGGAAGCCCATGCGTTTTTAATAAAGGTATACTTGTTACATAGAATAAAACGTTCATTTCTTTTTAAGTTATGAAATTCTTAAGTTGGAATAATTTTACTCTATTCCTCCATAAAAGTATTCATTTTGTATATTTGTTAGGATCAAGCACAGCTGCTTTTTCTTTTGACAATGTTGCCCAATACAAATATATCGAAATAACAGATGGAACCTACGAGTATACAGTGTACTTCGCTGATGACTGCCTATTTCCCACTCCAAAACCCAGTATTTTATCAATATTTTTCCCACTGCTTTTTTATGCATCCACTAAATGAAAGCAGATTCAGTCATTAAAATGTCCATCTGTTGAATTCATATTTAGATGTAAAATCTTTGTATTAAATAGTCTTTTCACTTAAGGTGATGTTTTAATCCCTCCTCTGATACCACTGCATCGATACTTGAAGGGTGAAACATCGATTGATTTGGAATTCAAAATCTACGATCCTCCTAAATCGCAACCGGTATAATTTCCACAATTAATTGAATATATATTCATTATTTCACGAATAAATTATTATTTTTATTTATTTTTTCACGAATAAGTGATTTTTTATTTGTTTATTCCCTTAAAAGTATTTAATATTCATAATATTAATATATTTTTTGCCCTTATGAACTTGACTAATGGTAACTTATGTTCACCAATTGTCGCCTATTCCTATCTAAATAAACACCGAAAAAAATTAACATTTACTGATCACTTAAAGATATATCTATACGAAAGTTCGTCATTAATATGCATTTGGCGCAACGGTGTTTCAATGGATGAAAAGATTTGTCGTAAGTGAATGTGAATAAAGCTGTCTTTCATAATATTCTCATTTTCAGCTGTAACCTCTCTTACAGCCCACCTCACTTCTGACAAGACTTCTCTCATATCGAGCGTATCAATAAAGCTGAACATGGGATCTGGAAACCTCGTAACGTACAAATGGGGTACAGCTGACAGTTCTGTTGCTTTGACTCTAGATTGGGAGAACTCGGGTAATAAAAAGAACTGAAAATTTATCATAAATATTTTTAAAAATAAACACTTTAATTTAATCTCTCACAGGCACGCCTCCTGAAATCTACGAATGTCAAGGTAAGAATTCCTAAAATTCGATTGTGATAATTTATTTGCATGTTCTATGTTGTTGTTTTTTTAATATTTATAATTTCTCTTCCCTTCAAAATTGACTTCACTCAATTCTTTTACAAACCCAATTACTGTCCTTTCGAACCTGACTCAACTCCTTTATTGACCAAAGACAATCCATTAATTATATTTGCACCCAAAAATATTGTACATATATCTATTTGCTTATTTTTAAATTGTTCATTTTATAAATTCACTTACATATCGTTTGACCGAACTTGAGAAAGTGAAGTACCTAATTTTAAATGGTTTAGAATCTAATTGAAGCTACTTAAATAAATGAAAATTTGCAGTGAACATTTTAAATATTATTTGTGTATAAATTTGCAAGAATAGAGAATGACCCTGAAAATCTGTATAAATTGCGAAATCGTTTTTTTATTTAAATCACTCATATTTTCACTCAAACGATTTACAGTGTGAATTCCATCAAATATTTTATTTATACTTTCAGTAGCTACAACTTCCAGAGGTATGTTTCAAAATTGATCAATTCGATTTAAATTTTTATCTACATTTGAGCAATATAGTTTGCGGCATTGATATTTCCGTTGAGTTAAGATCAATCTGTTTTTATGATATTCCATCAAACACCATTTTTTGGTAAGAACAGCAAACATTCTATGATTCAATTCAAGTCTTGCATCAAATTTTAAAATCTCTACCGATGTTGTAGGTTGCAATAACGATTTTAATTGGAATAATTTTTATTATTGTAGATTATTTGGTTGTGTGTCTGTATTTACGTGATCTAAAACAAAAAGGACCCTTGTATGTACACATTTTGAAATATATTTTAAAAGTATGTATTCCATTCATTTATTGGATTATGTGTAAAAGTTTCCAAATTATATATTCCAAACAAATTTAAAGTCAAATTACGGGAAGGGGGCCAAAATTTGCTCTTTGAAACATAATTCATTGCATGATGGTTACTGATTTACCCATTGGAAGCAAACCAAATAGGTTTGGTTAATCACACGTTGCACCACTTTGAAGCCTTGTGTAAAGTAGCGCTCTTAATTGCCACAAATAATGTGATTATTAAATATAAATATTTAATTAAAAAAATAATTTCCTATTATCAAACTGAACACTTAGGGTTATGATGCTTTGCTTAAAATTTTCTGTCAACTTCCTTATTTATTTATTGGTTTCAAATAACACTAATTTGTATTTTGAATTTGAATGCCTTGAATGAGTATTCCGTAATCAGTTAATGAACTTGTATTATTTGTTGAAGTGCTATGCATGACAACAAATCTGGTTATACAAGTAAAAGGTACTTGAAATAAGGTTGAAAAAATACGGTTTTGCTTGTGAATGAAATTTTTTAAGCGATTAACAAATACCTATCAGGTTGACTAGCAATAATTACTTCAGTTGTAGGTTTGATCACACTGATGTCGCCATAAAATTCCACCATTTGATGTTGCTGACCACTTTTTTGTTTACCTTATAAATATCAAAACGGTGTTTGAATTTCTTTCCAGTGAGTTTATTAGGAAGAATTGCTGAGACTCAATGGAAAAGAATTGATTAACAGAGAATACGCTGATAAATTTTATTTTAAAGCAATTTAAAAGTGAAATATTTTATACAAAATGGCATATTTATTACAAAGGTAACGGCGATTATGCTTCTCATAAACAAACGGTAAACAAGTGAATTGAGTAACTTAAAATACTTCAAAAAGCCTTAATGGTGCGGAGCAAATGATCGTAATTATCATGAAGTCGGGCAAAAGTTAAAATGTATGAGGTTAGAAAGAAGTTGGAGAGGACCATGTCAAGACATCAGCAAGTTTCATTTCATTTACTTTTTGAACTCTAGATGCACAATATTTACTGAATGTCCAGTTTACCGTTTTGATCCAAACTTCATAATTGTACTTCCGGGTTGAAGCAAATACCTGCCCAAGATGTTCTTGCCTTAGTGACTAGTCTTTAATTAAGGAGAGCTGGTCTAGCCACCTGCTATAACATCTTCTAATTCCAATTATTAACACGCATTAGTACTTTATATGGTGTATAGTAAGTTGGATATCTGGCATAGCAGAAATGAGATAGTTAAAGTGTTAAATGTGCTGAGCTCCATAGATCTGTCTTCACTTTAGTGTGCAAAATTGTGCCAGTGACAATCAAACACAACTCAGAGAAGAAATCGTGAAATCAGATCAAAAATTTTGTTTACTCAACGCCAAGTCTTATTGTAATAAAAATGCTTCTTACTATCATAATTGACCAGAAACGTTGCCTGGCGACTATAACTGAAACGGGAATAACAGAAGCATCAAAGACTAAATCCTGTCTCAAGTGACATTTAATTCTGAGCAAATGACCAATGCTCTAATTGCAGTTAATGTTTAGCAAAGCCAAGTTCAACATTACGAAAATTGTTCTAAATTGTTGGCTGCAATTGTATGAATGCGGATGAATTTCACTTAAAATTCTATTTTATGATCTGTTTAATATCAGTGATAAATGAAACCCGTTCGTACGTTGAATCTCGGTGTTCTCGAATCCCCGTAATCAGAAGTGAGATTGAAGGCACTGTTGAATCGACCTGATCAAACCAGTTGACGAATGCTTCAATGGTTGTGGAAACCCAATTTTCCTTAAGCAGATCAGGAGGATGAAAAGAAACAGTAACCTTGTAAATCCACAATTTCAGCCTGACTATTTTTGTAAAACATCAACAAACTCTCCTCTATGAGTCTTCTATTCCTAGTTGCTCACGTGACTCACGTCAAGGTGAGTCATAAAGCACTTTACCCGCCAATTAGAATAAACACATACACTTACTCTGAAGATGGATTATGCCATTTAATAGAGCCATTGTAAATTTTAGTTAAATTTATTCCACATCTAATTAGATTTTGATTGAGTTATTTCTAACATTGCACTGGTGTTAGAATTATGCACTCTGACTGCCATCTTTTGTCAATCCCTTTTTTCACTTAATTACATCTAATAATTGCGTTTAAATGAGTCTAGATGAACTAACTTCAACGGGTTATGAGGCTGTTTCATATAAACAAATAACGCTTTTCTTTTCTACAAATACGGCAATTGCAGTATTTTAAAAAATATTATTTTAAATCTTAATCTTCTTTTTGTTCTAGCGTGATTAACTAATTGTGACAAAACTTAAATCCGTTAAAATGTTCGTTTGCCCACGAAAAGTTTTGACTGGTCTCTGATTATCCAATAAGTCTGCATATCTTGTTTAAAAATTAGTAATATTTGCGGTTGGTGATAATTAGTGGAGAAACGATTTTCAGGAATTTAAAATTCGATAGGGCTGAATATGTCGATTGTCGATTCTTTCTTTTGATATTTCAAGTTAAAATTGGTAAAAAATATACGATTTGTCACGATCTTAATCATAAAGTCGATAAGCGGGATTTCATGTTCAACAGACGTTTTTAGTACAAACGAGGACTTCGACAATATTGTTTAAACTTAAATTCAAATTTTATCTGGCAGACTCGGACATGGGTGAGGTTCGGGCCAATAGGTATGTTTGAGTAAACCAAAAACCTGTTTGGGAGTGGTTTCACTAGTACAGAAGAGTAGGTTAAAATGCAAAGGATTTCTAGTCAGGTATGATATTCCCATGGATATTTCCAAAACTGTGTTTGACGCATGCTGGAAGTGACATGTATATGCACTGGCTATTTTTCCGAAACAACAGGATTCATTACTTAAACGTCTCCACATTTCTATGTCATCGACTTAAATTAGATGCGGTAAATGTACAGACTGTGACACACAACATCCAATATTATGCTGTCCTTAACTATGGCCTTATTGTCAAGTTTTAATGAGGGGCTTTAAGGGGGTATTCTGGTATGGAGACATGAATTTCAGGTCATTTTTGAAGTGCTGTACAAAAAAGCAAGCAATATTTTTATATTCAATTTTTTATGCAATATTTATTCACCTTAGAAGTATACAAAAAATAAAAACTTAAGAAATTCAAAATTCCGTTAGTTAGCAGCTGAAGGAGTGGGACGTCTCAAAAATATGGTACGTGACCATACCCACGATTTTGACTCTCCAAGCAATCTGAAATCAAAAAATAAAAAAAGGCTATCAATCTACAATAATGTCGCTATGTCCGGAACTACGGAAAATTTTTAGATATATTTTATTACAAAATGGCGACTGTCTAAAGAAAAAAAGTCATTTTTGCACCACTTTTGAACATTCTTCGATTTTTTAAAAATAGTAAAAATGAAAATTTGGAGATGGCCGTAGTTCCTGACATTGACAAGTCTCTAAAGAAGGCTTTCTTAAAATTTCATGTAAAACCGGTTGGCAGAATCTGAGAAATTGTGGGTATCAGATTAAAAAAAACAGTTTTGAGAAAAACGCGTTTAAAGTTTAAAATAAATTTTTTTGCAGTCTAAGTCATAAAATTATATGTTTAACTTACATTTATTCAATCTACCATTCCTGCCGCATACATCGGACCTTGCTCGACTTCGAAAAAACTATTTTCGGCGTTTCTGTTTTCTATTCGAGTAGTTCTGGCCTCCTTTGATATGCTGGATGCTGGTATCTCGGAGCGGTCAATCAGGGCGTTGTCTCGTCTGATAGCAAATGCATGAGCTTCTGGACCAATTTTCACCCCTATAATCACCCTCATCTTCAATATCGGCATAAATCCTTCATTAAAATACCACGAGACCCGGAATGGATATGCTTTGGAGCGAAAGTCCATATTAGCGAGTTTAGAGACTCATTATTATTTGAATTTCTGAACCCAAACATCGAGTCAATAATTCTTCTGATGATAAACTTCGAAGGATTTGTCAACAAATGAGCATGTTGGAATGTAGCGTAGACTATTGCAGCTGCATTGTAATGCAATTTTGAACCCGAATCCGCGTTGAGCCGTTCTTGAACATCTAATTTCGTTGTTGCTTGTAGTGCACGAAACAAACGAAGCAATC